TGAAGTTAAATTAGATTCTTCCATTTATAAATGACTCTGATTTCAGCAGAGGTTCTACCTGGTCGAGATAATATTACATGCGTGCTCTATTTTGTCTCTTTCTCCTCTCTTCCATCTGTGTAGAGTGAGTGACAGTCGGAGTCAATGCTATGGACGCAATTGGAGAGGTTACGCACGCTTTGCCCGACAGATTACTTGCCTCCTTCAGGTTGCTGGTTGAAACCTCCTCCGATTCCAACCCCGTCGATGCCGTCATCTTCGTCGGACTGTCTTTGATGCTCGGAATTGCTTGCAGGCATGTTCTGAGCGGCACCAGAGTCCCTTATACTGTTGCTTTGCTCATCATCGGAATCGCTTTTGGATCTTTAGGTTTGCGTTGCGTCATCTTCACCTTCACCAGGCTTTTGCTTAGCATCAGTTTAATTTTTTGATCTTGATGCCGAGGCACGTAGCCCGAAAATAAGCAAAGTACTATTTGAACAAAATTATAATTTTAAGGCGTTAAATATAAAAAAAACCAATACACTTATGTGTTGATTCCTTAATGGGCAGAATATGGCTCAAATCATAAATTAGGGAAGCTTGGGGATGGCATCCGTCTTTGTAAGTTCCATCGTGCCTTACTCTTTTTCCTGATTATGTTAGTATTGGAAGCTAGACCATGACAAATTGAACTATTGAGATAGAATTTGTCAAAAAGGCAACTCTTACTGAGAATTAGTCATCACAATAAAAGTGTATTATGATAATTTGCAGGGGCGGAAATTGATGGTGACCTTCTATTGGCTGTTTTTCTTCCTGCTCTACTTTTCGAGAGTGCATTCTCGATGGAAGTTCACCAGATAAAGGTTTGCCTTAGCTACTATGTCTTAAAGCTTTAAGGGGATCAAAACCTCACTTCAAAATACCAGTTTGAGTTCTTTAATTAGAATCTTCTTTCATGTATCCCTTATGGGGTCTGGTGTGCAATCAAGGAAACACTTTATTTGCCCAAGAGAGGATGTCAAATCTACAAAATTTACAAGCGCTTGGAATGTGAACAGCCTGGCTTTCTAAAAATACAGACCCAGGGAGTTTACCATTCTAGTAGTCATTTACTCATTGTTTGAATTCCTGGGGCATTTTTGTTCTTTGGGCCAATATAGGTCCCTTCTTTTTATTCCTTAAAGTTATAGAACCAACGTTAGTGCTTATTTTTCTTGTCCTGAATAGAGCAAAAGGTTTTTCGACATTATTTTTTAAATCAGCAGGGTCATGCAGAAATTGTGTGAGTTTTTTAGTGATGTGTTAAAATGTTCTGAGGTGTTGAATGGATCAGTTTGTCTTTTATGCTTGAACAGAGGTGTATGGCACAAATGATTCTACTTGCTGGTCCAGGAGTTCTCATTTCAACTTTCTGTCTTGGATTAGCTTTGAAGGTATTTTGCTTCCACACTATCTATCTTCTATGCAATTGTCTTTCTTTTGCCATAGATGCAGTTCTCTTATCTTGTTGCAGCTCACTTTTCCATATGACTGGAGTTGGAAAACATCGTTATTGCTTGGGGGGCTTCTTAATGCAACTGATCCTGTTGCTGTGGTTGCCTTGTTCAAAGAGCTTGGTGCAAGCAAAAAATTGAGCACTATAATTGAAGGAGAATCTTTGATGAATGATGGGTATGTATATATATTTTCATTGATCTGTTGATTTTATATTTTGGTGAACACTCTGGAGATGTCTGGTGAGGTAGCATGTATCTTGCGTGTAAATTGATCTTTTATTGAATGCACTTCATCTATATGTTCAGGATTGCAATCGTGGTTTACCAGCTATTCTATAAAATGGTTCTTGGACAGAGCTTTACTTGGGCCACCATTATTGAATTTATGGCAAAAGTCTCACTTGGAGCGTATGTATCAATCATTTTCCGTAGGCAAAATTTTGACATGTTTCAATCTGGTTTTAAGACCATTTTCTTGGTACAGTGTCGGAATTGGCATTGCTTTTGGAATTGCTTCTGTTTTGTGGCTTGGGTTTATTTTCAATGACACAGTGATTGAGATTGCACTGACACTTGCTGTGAGCTACGTTGCTTATTTCACAGTATGTTCCTCTCCAAACTGATTGAAACTCCTTTTGAATTTACTTAATCAAGTCAAGGGACATAGTTACAATATCCTTTCAAGAAATGTCCATCAATGCTGCCTTTTGTAGAATTATGGGTTGACCTCTCCGGTTGGGTTTAGATGGAGGATATTAAAGTGGGATTTCATAAGAAGAAAATGTGAAGGAAGGAATTTTATTATAGTTTAGTTAGAGAAAAATTAGGATTTGAAGAACTCAAAAAACCTCTTTCTAAGTGGTATTTTAAAATGGCAAGCTTTTTGTAGTGCAACCAAAGCATTTTTGACATGAGACCTGAAAGATCACTTAGAAAGGGAACATGAAATTCCTTGTTTCATTGAAATCCCTCATTTAGAATTCTTCATCTAAACACAAGATTTTCTCAATTAAAGATTAAAATGGTAATTAAGGTATCATGAATCTCATTTTTTTGGGTTGTAGTAAGTAATGTACTTTTTTTGACTTTTACTCCTGGCTAATTTAGTAGTATAAAGTAACTTGCTTTTTTTTTTTTTTTCTTTCCGTCTTGTTTCTCTTTCAATTTCCCCACTGTCCAAACTAGAGCTTGTAGTTTATATATTCAAGTGTTTTTACCTATATGAGAAGGTTGCATAAACTACATAATAATGAAATTAGAAGTTTATAATAATATTACCGAAAACAAGTCTTAGATTCAAAAATGTTTCCTCTGGTTCATTTTTTACTATTGTATGTTTTTTTTTTTTTGGCCAATTTTACTATACCATATTGAAAAAGCCTTTTCTTTTTTATTTGTCAAACACTAAAGTTTTTATAATTGAAGGACTACATCTAGGAAAATAATTAAGCATACATAGTGGAACTATTTATTAAAAGGTGCCATTTCTTGACAATCTGAATCTCTTTTCACCTTTTTTAGACATCATTGATGTTCTTTTTTTGTTTGTGAGCAAGTTCAAATTAAAAATAACTTAAATTACCTTTTGCAAAATCATACCAACCGTTTTTATGTTACAGGCTCAACTAGGGATTGATGTTTCTGGTGTTTTGGCAGTTATAACTTTGGGAATGTAAGTTAACTAGGGTGTAAAGATTTCTTTGCTACCTTGAGAAAACATTTCTCAGGATTAATGAGACTCTTACCTTGGACAGGTTTTATGCTGCATATGCAAAAACAGCATCGAAGGGGGGAAGTCAACAGTGCTTGCATCACTTCTGGTATGTGTCATGCCTTTCTCATTTAGAGTTTTCTGTCTCACAAATAAATTAAACAGTTTCAAAGGTGAAAGTGCCCCTGTAGCTTTGGACTGCATCAAGTCTTTCATAAAATATCTAAAAAATATTAGGACTATATTTTAGGAAAAAGTTACTAAACAAGACACACTAAGTACATTTTAGTGCCTAAGGACATGGTTTCTTAAATTATGTACCATATAATTCTCAATGGAGCTTTTCCAGAAGTCATCTTAATTCTGTTACTGCTTTACCTTTTTCTTCAGGGGAATGGTTGCTTACATTGCAAATACATTAATTTTCATTTTAAGGTAATGGCTTAATTTAAGGCTCTTAGATCCTTCATACTGTTGATATACTTGAAATAAAAAATAGCTTGGTCTCAATGAAATTTTTTTATTCTGAATTGATTAGTTGAATTCCTTCATGTTTTTATTCAGTAATTGCTGCTGGTATTGCCTTATGTTTACTTTTAGTTTTGCCCTAATTCTCACTCTGGATTGCAAAGTGATGCAAGATCTTCATTCACAGAACCCAAAGCTCAAATCTCAATATGAGTTTTCATCTGCAGTTCTAGTAGCCTTTAAGCTTAGGAAGGCTACGTCAGGTTGAAGTAGGTGAAAATATGAGAATGGTGAAAGATACTGGTAGTGGGATCTAGCATTACCACCTGGTAGAGTTGTGTGATTACACTTACTGAGATGCATTATAAAATTTTGCAGGAATAATAGCTTTTTTTTGCTATTATGTGTTGACAACTAGGAGGTTCAAAAGACTTTGACATCAGGAATTAGAAATAATATGCAATTAATTTGGTCCAAGTAGACTTCAGAAGTAGGAATATAGTTAGCTTTTGAGTAGGACACAAACACCAAATACCTAATTACATTAGCAACATTTGATCTAGCCTTGGGTCAGCTATTTGAGCTACTGATCATTGAAGTTTTGGATGAAATTGGAATGCATGTAATGTGTCTCCCCCTTGTAACAAAGAAATTTTTCTTAAACGGGCAGAAGGTTTTTTGCTACATGCTTACTTAATCTTAATATATTGCTGTCCCCTGTCTGACACATGGACTCTCAAATCAACATTATTTTTATATGGGATTTCAAATTTTGCTGGAGAAATTTGTTGATGATTGGGTGAGAAAATTAATGGTTATGTAGCACTAGAACTCAGCAACAAATAAGGCTTTGGCAAGCTGAATGTTAAACCGATTGAGAAAAGGGATTATCTGTGTAAACTAGGACTAGTGGATGGATACTCTTAAATCTAAGGTTTAAGTGTCATTCGCTTTAACTTAGAGTTGATTTCTCATGGCATTGCTGATATTCTTTTATTTAAGATCAATCATAACAATAATGATCTTAGTAGCTGACAAGATTGTCTAAAAAACACTATTAAATTTATATGAAAGTGAAAGGGCAGGCATTCAATTAAGTGTCTTTGTGAATTTTGCTTATCATATTTTTTTTCTCTTCCATATTGAATCTTATATTTGCTAATTTTTTCTTATTTTCTTTTATTTTTTATTTTAATTGGTTTTTGCAGTGGTGTTGTTATAGCTAAAGGTGTTCTTGTGGACAGCAAGACTTTTGTGAATCATGGTAGTGCCTGCTTTTATTTTATTGATCTTTGATAGAGAATGTTGATTTCCTAAGAAATTAGTTTAGTTTGGTTAACGAAAATATAGGATGACTTCACCCTCCTTCCCTGATATGGTATATAGATTTGAGAAATCTATCTACA